CGGTTGACGAACTTGGAGTCAGTACTATTACCGAAATGGAATACCAGTACCGGTTGACGATGTGGAGTCAGTACTGGTATAGTTGGGTGGACATTTCTGTAACCGTACCGGTTGACGAACTTGGAGTCAGTACCGTTAAGGAAATGTTTAGTGAAGCCAGTACCGGTTGACGGCGTGGAGTCAGTACTGGTGGATCTGAGTGGTCGTCTTTATAATAGTACCGGTTGACGAAGTGGAGTCAGTACTATTATAGAGAAGCAGGGTAAAGTCTAGTACCGGTAGACGAATTGAGTCAGTACTAGATGATACCGAAAGGAACGGTACATGATAGTGCCGGTGGACGACTTGAGTCAGTACTATCAGGTATCGAAAAATGTGTGAAATAATGGTAATGTATTAGAAAGATAAATGATAAAGAGTTAAATGGATGAAAATGAATTCTTGTATTGAGAGACTAGTTGGCACCGTTCTCCATGAGAATGGGCTCTTCGGGCTCAACCCGAGCTGCTCACTAAGTATTTTTTCTTAGCCCTCCGTTGTTGAATTTTTCAGATCCCGAGGAGCACGAGTAGCGCACTGTGGACGGCGACGGCTTGTGAAGACTTCATTATGTACGGATAAATAAGCCTGTTTGTACGTTTTGGTTTGTGGAACAAGGTTTTACGTGGAATCGGTTATGTTTAAATGTATGTTTGGACAAGTGTTGTTTTCGAGAAAAGTGTGATGAATTTATTCCGCTGCGTATTTGTGTTTAAAAATGATTTTTAAATTCCCGTACTTTTGGTTTTATTATGTTTATTGGTTTTCGTCCATGTGGCATATCTTGTTCATGGGAAGTGGGATTCGGGTGTCACAGTTCGGACACAAATCTATCAGACACATGGATTTACAAAACACTTTCACGGTTAGTGATGGTACAATCGTAAAACCATGTCTTGCTCACAAGACAAAGGACTCAAACTCCCTTGAAATAATTCTATACATATAAAATATTATGTAACAAAATTGTATAGATATTTTATAATTATATAAACATAATGGTATTTTTTCTATTTGTATACCAAGTAATTGTATACACATGCTGATTTAGATGTAAATGAATGAACAGATTTAATTTAGATGTATGCATGATGTTTATAAAAGACTATAATATGGGTATTTATAAAACCTATGTTACCCATATACTAACCACAATATGGTACCAACTTGAGATATTCTATATAACAAACCCCATATCTGGCATAAATTATAGAGATATTCTATATAGTATGATTGATGTTACACAGTCAATGGTTTGTAACTTTTTGTGTGAACCATCAGTTATAGATGTATACAATAATTACATTCGTGTTTAGGTAAATCCTTTGTCTTGTTTTTAATGTAAACAACTGTTACATTCGTGTGTCTATGTATACATATATAACCATTTTGGGTATTATGGATTGAGCTATAGAAAACATATAGCTCAAAACAATCTAAGATATACTATTGTATATATATGTACATATCATAAATATACCCACTATGATGAGGTATAATATAACCGGTTTAAAATTATATCAACATCCGGACTACATTTTGTACTAGGTTAAATATGGACCATAATATATGCATATTTATAATCATTTACCTATGTTTTGTCCAAACGTAATATCAAAAATGTCTTGTGAGCAAGGCATGGTTTGCTACAAACATTATGGATGGTACATAAAATATATCAACTTATGCCTAATCATCTTAAAACTACATAACAGATTGTAAGCACAACCATCAGCAAATAATTATTAAAGATCCCTCGAGTTATGATGTAAACTTTAACGCATGTATGAAAAAAATATATTGTTATGGTATGATATAGGGTGTTTAGAGTGCATGGTACAAATGGTTTTACCGATGCACTCACAAACTCCCCTTTTTTGGATGAACCATACCGTTTCAGATGTCTTATACATATAGTCATTTCCCGGATGTATTGTAGCACTCTAAACATAAAATCCGAAATCATGGTATTTATAGTGATACTACAATAGTATGTTTTTACGTTTGTAGCATATAGCGATTTTTGACTATTTAATGCACTAAACCTATGCGTCAACACATAGGCATGGTTCGGACACAAACATGTTTAGAGTGCATGGATTTAGGAATGGTTGAGTCAAAAAGGGGAGTTTGAGTCCTTTGTCTTGTGATAATGTTTGCTATACATATAAATATTGTATCATGTTAGAGTGCTATATGTGTGGTATCTATAATAGTATGTACATATTGTACATACAATATGTACCCGATATTTTTGTGATTTATGTATTATAATGCGTTAGATAAAATTGTTTATACATACCCATAACTAAACCGTGATTATTACATCAATAGATCTTACATTTATATGTACAAAATTGATTAATCATAAATATACATAATAAACACCTGTGATTATATGTACTACAACCTATCGATCAAATAATAGGTAGTGCGTCACGTAACTTGAATTATGTATACCACAAAATTGGTATTTGTCGTATTGAGCTATCCATATTGCAAATGTTTAGGCTACAAACATGTTGTTAAATGTAATATGTATAAAAGCGTGCATACATATTGTACATACAATACTCGTATTGTACCAAACTGTATCCATTTATTTAGATGTGCTACGATTTGTGGTATAGATGTTAACACTCTAAACATTTATGTCATGCTAAACATACTATTGTGATAAGTTTACAAGACCTAAAGTAGATTGATGTTACATCAATATATAATGAGTGCAATACATAAACATAATTATTAATATATGGGTAATATACCCGTATATTAATAATGATGTTTTATGCGTTATGTTAAATCCATATATGGGTAATAGATGTTTCGTTTATGCCACGGATTATGTGATATGCAAATATATGGGTACATCTCTAATTACGATTGTGAGTAGTTAATTTTGTAAATTATTGAAACGTTTATTATGGTGTACTACAACATTTAACATATTGTTGTAGACTAAACATAATTAGAGATTATATGTTGAGGATATAACCGTTTTGGATAGACCATATATTATGCAATAACCATATGTACTATGATTGTAGTGGGTACAATTTATGGCACTAAGTTAAAACCTAAGTCTGAGTTTCTTCTGAGTCAGCCAACATAATCTATGTTTCTTCCATTGTGATTTAAACTAAACATGTACCTCCGACATATTATATGGATACATACGATATATGTATGCTTTGTATATAAACATGGTAATAATCCAAAACATCCAAATATTGTAATCACAAAAAAGCACATACATGCACTTACCTATGTCAAGAGTGCGTTCTGGCTACAATAGTATGTTTTTATAAATGTTTATATAAATTATTTAGTATAGTAATACATTGAAATACCAGAACTAATTTTAGAATGCGCTAAATTATTAGATGCATAATATTTAGACATCTTAAACTATCAATAGAGTGCATAAAATGTAGATGCACTCCAAACATCTTTACGTTATACTATTGTAACATTTATCATGTTTGATCCAAAACATGATTTATGAGTTTATACATATGTCACTCTAAACTATCAATAGAGTGCATAAAATGTAGTTCATAAAATATGGTGCATGTATGTGAACAAGTCCGAGAAATCTAAATGTACATATCTAAAAGATCCATATATGTGCATAATAACATTTCAAACATAATTTTAATGTTTGTTATATAACTAGTTGGTTTGATCAAACATGTGCGATTTATATTCAGCATACTCGTTTAGACATAACAATGTAGATGAATTAGTATATGACATATTTACATATATACATATAATCACAGATGTATAAACATTGAATAGAGTCTGATATACAATAACTGTATTTAGTTACAATACACCGAAATAGTATTTACAAACGCCATTTCAGCCAACTCTCCTTGCGCACAAGGGAGGAGGGTCTCAAGCTAGAGCAGATTCAGAGTCGCCTCTTATCGCACCCGTCACCTGCATTGGCGGTCGAGGAGGAAAAGTGTCAGCAGTCCTGGCAAATTCTGCTGGCAGCGGAGGAGAGGTTTTACAGACAGAAATCAAGGCTGCGATGGTTGCGGCTTGGGGACCGAAACACGAGCTACTTCCACAAGACAGCGACAGCAAGGAATGCAAGGAATACAATCCACTACCTTGTGGACGAGCAAGGGGATAGGATTCTTGATGATGCGACTATTAAGGGGCATGCGGTGGAATTTTATTCCAACCTTCTGGGCCGCCGAGAAGAGCAGGTACAACCTGATCCTGTCTGCAGGCTTGATGAGCTAATCTCTTTTAGATGTTCCTTGGACATACAAGAAGAACTTTCGCAACCTGTCTCGGCCGAGGAGATCCAATCGGTGGTCAAGTCGATGCCAGATAATAAGAGTCCGGGGCCTGACGGCTATACAAAGGAGTTCTTTACCTCAGCGTGGGAGATTGTAGGGGCTGACTTGATCCAGGCAGTCCAAGAATTCTTTCGATCCGGGAAACTATTGAAGGAAATCAATGCCACTGCCATTACCCTCATTCCGAAGAGAGTTGGAGCTGAGAGGCTTGGAGACTACAGACCCATAAGCTGCTGTAATTTCCTTTACAAGGTCATCTCGAAGATTATAGCCAACCGTATAAAACCCATCCTGCAGTCTTGCATTGCTCCGAACCAGACTGCATTCCAGAAAGGAAGGCTGATGATAGAGCATGTGTTACTCGCCACAAAGCTTATAAGGGACTATCACCGTGGCGCGGCTGGTCCGGATGCTCTACTCTAAGTCGACATCCGCAAAGCCTTTGATTCGGTCAAATGGGATTTCATCTTAGCAATCCTGCGAACTATGGATTTCCCCCCTGTGTTTGTGGGCTGGATCAAGGAGTGCATTACGACACCTCGTTTCTCAGTGGCCATCAATGGTGAACTCACTGGATTTTTTCCGAGTTGCCGAGGGTTAAGGCAGGGCGACCCACTATCCCCCTACCTATTTATTTTGGCAATGGAACCATTAACCAAGCTTCTCAACTCTTCGGCAAGGCTTGGTCGATTTGATCTCCATTCCAGGTGTGTGGATCCATTACTCACTCATCTGGTTTTTGCTGATGATCTGATCATATTTAGCAGGGGGAACCTTGACTCAGTCTCAGCAATCATGGGCATCCTTGACTCCTTTGCACAATGGTCAGGTTTAGCCATGAATCCCGATAAATCTGAGCTATATTTGGGAGGGCTGTCGGATCAGGAGGCGAACAGACTCAGCTCTTCTATGGGTATACGTTTGGGAAAACTGCCGATGATCTACTTGGGTCTTCCACTCAGTCCTTGGAAGCTCTCTAAGCATGACTTCCAACCGCTTATTGATAGAATTGCTAGACGGCTCACCTGCTGGACTAGCAAGTTTCTTTCTTATGCGGGTCGGATTCAGCTCATTTCCTCCGTCATCTATGGGATGGTAAATTCCTGGTCACAATCCTTTCTCATTCCCAAAGGTGTATTACGCATAATTGATGGTCTCTGCTCGAAATTCCTATGGAAGTCTAGCACTAGCACAAGGGGGGTAGCAAGGGTCGCTTGGGATGATGTATGCAAGCCAAGATCTGAAGGAGGGTTAGGTATCCGCAAGCTCGAGGATTTTAACACTGTCTTCAGATTAAAACTGGTATGGATGTTATTTCAGGAATCCGGTTCCTTATGGGTGGCGTGGTTATGGCGGAACTTCTTGAAGCGCAAGGGATATTGGGATACTTCACATTCTCCTAGGTTCTCATGGAACCTACGAAAACTTCTCCATTTGAAGCCGGTAGTTAGGCAATTTCTTCGTTGCTCTTTGGGTGATGGAAAACGAGCTTCTTTTTGGTTTGATGATTGGATAGATCTAGGGCCTCTGATTGAGTTTGTAGGGGAGGATGGACCCCGACTACTGCGGATCCCACGGCAGGCCAGAGTTGCAGATGTTGTCACAGACACGGGTTGGTTTCTTCCGGGGGCTAGATCTCCGAGGGTGTTAGAGATTCTGATCAGACTTTCCACGATAAGAGTGCCTAACCCGGGTAATGGAGCAGACAAATTCGAATGGAAATGTGGTCCCAATACGTATGGCAATGCTTTTCCTCAGCAGCAACTTGGAAGCTTTTGCGCCAACCTTCCCCGACGGTCCTATGGCATAAGTTACCTTGGTTCCGAGAAGGAGTGCCTAGGTATGGCTTTATTGAGTGGCTGGCATTCCGTACTCGACTCCCAACTCGGGACAGGCTTTTTCGTTGGGGTGCAGTGGCGGTAAAAACTTGTCTCCTATGCAGCAGTGAGGAGGAGACGCACCTTCACCTCTTCTTCCGATGTAACTACAGCAAGCAGGTGTGGTTCAGGTTTGCTCGACTCATTTGGAACTCTCCTCCAACCGATCTTCATAGCGTCTTGGGGTGGATGAGCCATCCGGAGAACGACCAATCCCACAACAGGGGGGTTATTAGTCGTGTTCTGTTGCAGTGTTCAGTCTACTTGCTATGGTTGGAAAGAAATGCGCGTCTTTTTCGAGGCGTAGCATTGACTGTGGACGCACTCTGTGTCAAGCTTAACTCCATGGTTCGGAACTGCATCCTCTCGCTCCTAGGCTCCTCACGACGGGTTGACCCGGCTCTCCTTGTCGATTGGTATTATATCACTCTTTCTCGTCGTTAGCTGCTACTACATGTTGTTGTCTAGCTCATTTGGTTAATTCGGTGTCATGTTGAGACACATGGGTATGTTCTTTTTGTGGGTATTCGGTCTTTCGATCGGTTCTGTATACGAACACTTTTTATTATAAAATTTACCTTTTTATCAAAAAAAGAAATAGTATTTACAATTTGTATATAAAGTTCTGGGTCTAGAGTGTAGATAGTGTCATTATATGTACCGGATTATAGACCATAAAAAATATCGGATATTGTTATGCATGTATAAATATTGATTATATCTCCAACATGTAGATGGATCAGTCCAAGTTTATGTACATGTATACTTACTAGTTATACCATAACCGTATTATGGTCTACATATGATGGCAACAATATATAGAGTACATTAATCAGTTGTGATGTAATCACAAATGATTATGATATAACCGTATAAAATACGGTTAGATTAAATACGGTTATCTAAAATATGAACTTAATAATTTTCTGCGTATATGTCTATATAATTAAAATGGACTCATTTACCCACCATATTGATAGTTTTAGAGTGCATGAAACAACTTTATAGTATGTAGCATATATAGACATATACGCAGAAAATTTTATATATTAATTTTATGTACATATAGGTTATAAATTGATGCTACCCATTAACATCTTTTAAACTCATGTTATATATATATGTTTGGATGTTTTATCAATATATCCTGGAGATATATATCCCGTACCATGTATACCATCGATCGAACCCATAACTACAATGTAGCCTTGACAAGTGTTCCAAACATAGCTCTTTGTAGTTATGGGTATATGTTATATAAAAAAAAAAAATACAATACCCATATATATTATGTTTGGTTTAAAGAAAAACGGTAATTTATAAATCGTGAGTATATGTATATAAACCATGATTACAACAAAACAATACCCATGTTTATCATTATATATTATTTAGAGTGATGTGATATTCTACATTAAAATGATCTGCGGGGATCACATCCGGTATTATATATAGTGTTTATCCGGGGTATTGGTACGTAATAATGATGGCCGAAGAATGTTTAGAATTTAAAGTCCAGATCACATGTTCATAGATATCTGGGTATGGATTACAAATCATATAACATCAATATTATTATTATATGTGCATACTATATAGAAATATAAATGTACAATTAACATAAAATGCGTTATATATAATCAAATACCGTGACATAACGGTATTTTTAGTATGTTAGATATGATGCATATGATGTACCGGGACTTGTGACTTATAAATACACTCATCTATATTTAGGTTATCATTACATGGGTATATAATTGTAACATAACCAAACTATATTACGTGCACTCCAACATATAAACATATAGATACTATGGCCATTAATGTACCACATACATATGAGTCAAACAAATTATTGTAGTATGCAAATATATGGGTACATCTGGATAAATATATGTTATGTTTAGAGTGCTACATTATAAACCCATGTTTTAACTAGTGTAACATGTATACAATACCCCGGATGGTCGGTTGAACTTTCAGTGCATAAACATATGTGTACATAAAAGAATTATGTACCATCCATAATGTAGGACTGTTTTAACCGGTTTAGAGTGTTTTTTATCATGCATATAGCTCTATAATGGTTAACACTCACGAGAGAGAGAGATGGGTAATTGTATACCTATCATGCATTAAAACTATGTCACAATACATGTTTGTATGTTTGGTTTGTGGTAATATCATCTTTGAAGTGCCTAGTTAGATCATGTTATAAATAACGTACACTCTAAACGCATGTTATAACGCGATGGATAGGTTTGTGAGTGCATATCAAACTTAGAGTTTGTACCACAAAAAAACGCAACATAATCTTATATCTATAAGATATTACCATAACACAAACATACGATAGTTTTAATATTGCGTGTTGTTATAAATATAATCACAGATAGTATGTACATATTGTACAAACATGTACATAATACACTCCTACATGTTGATATATTGTACATATGTAACACTTGATCAGTTCTATACATGTTTGATGTTTACCCTTGATACATCCACTACAAACGGATTACACAAAACAATCCAATTTTAAATTGTAGTTTTAAAATTGTATATATGTACCAGATAGATCATCCAAAAAAATTTTTAATGTTTAATTTATATTATATAAAAACTGATTATGTTCTTATATGCTACATAATTATAGCTACATAGATAACGTTTATGTATAATACATAAATCACAAACATTTGTTTTAATGTGTTTTGTATGTATATACGAGGTATGTAGATATTTGGATCATATGCATAACTACCGTTTTAAACGTGTTACTAGAGTGTGATGCTACATATGGTTATAGATGTAGTTTCGACGCACTCTAAGATTTTATAACTCCTATACATATTTTAGGATTATAATGCACAAAGGGTAATTTACAAACATCCCGTAATATACGATTGTAAATCGTATGATATCGGTATACCATATGTATACATACTCAAATATGTACATAACAAATTTTGTTATATCTACAACTACTGATCTCTATATATTCTACGATCTATGTTTAGTTATGGTATATCCCATAACCAAACAAGTTTAGAGTGCTATAGATATAACACGGTTAGTAAAACTCCTCGACATATAATCTCTTTTTATGATGTGATGTACATACAATATGTTCATACATAATTTATCCAGATGCATAAATTATAATTTTAATATGGGATCCAATCTATATACAAAAATACATATATAATTGTTTACGATCTAAACATGAAACATACGTTATATGTTAATACATATAACGTATGATATACACAACATGACGTATTTATTGGAGTGTTTAGGCTATAATGTAAACTATATGGGTATAATATTTTAAAACATCTATATATACCCATATACACTTATATGGGTCAAAACATACAATCTTTTGTACTATTTCGGACTATCCTTTCACGGTTAGTGATGCTACAAAAGGAAGTGTTCTAAAACATTTTTGGAGCGCATGTTTTTGTAAATCCTCTAAATTTGTTAATTAAGTTTGGTTCTAAATTAGTTTTATACAAATGGAATGGTTGATGTTCAGGCATGATCCATAACTCTATCTGTTAAAAGCTTGAAAAATGGTTTTTAGTTAATAAAATGTAATATGTTTGTGTAATAAAAATAAGAGGAGAAATAGGAGAGAGAGCGGGAGAGAGTGAGAAAAGGCGATTCCAGAGCTCGACCCTAGGTTTTCCGCGAACTCGGTGGGCCGGCCGCCGGTACACCTGCCGAAAATGGCAAAGAAGAAGAAGAAGAATCAGGGGTCACCTGGAACCCCTCCATCCTCTGGTCTAGATCCCGTTCGTGCTACACCGATTCTGACTCCAGCTCAACCTATTGTGAGATCTCCATCTGCGATTGAGGTAGCTCCTCCACTCGTTGGTCCAAATGTCGATCCTGTTACACAGACCGCGTGTACAGTTCAACCTACGATGAGCTCTCCATCTGCGATTGAGGCGGCTTCTCCTCAGACTCACGAAGATCTTGGTCCTCTGCCCTGTGATTTTCCCCCTCTACCCAGATCGAGGTCTGTGCGTACGGAATCCTCTTCACCGAAGGCTCCGACGGATGCACAGAGCTCGACTCCGGCCCCTCCTCAGCTAAACCAGACCCAAGCTGATAGATCTAACCCCCACACCACTTCGGAGATCCAACAAGGTAATCCTCCTACTCTAAAGGCCAGTTATCCATGGGCCGAAAGGCTCCGAGCCAGTTCTAGAAACCTAAGTCGACTCGCTACTCCAAAGCTTACTGCTGAGGGTAACCCGCGTATTCGCGTCCCTAGCTCAGTGTTGATAGAGGCATCTCGGAATTGGACTGGTTATTTGGTAGGGCACTTCTACGGTGTGTCCCCCTCTGGCTCTAAACTCTTCCAAATCCTTAATCCAATATGGGGAAGGAAGTCGAAGATCCATGTAAGACGGATCAATAACACCTCCTGTTTGTTTCATATACCGGACCTTTCCACAAGGGAATGGGTATTGGAAGTAGGATTATGGAGAGCAGCTGATGTAATGTTCACGGTATCTGAATGGGCTACTACAGATGCTCTGAGGAAAACGGAACTGAAATCTGCACCAATCTGGGTCAACTTATCAAATATTCCGGCTGAGCTATATTCTCTGAAAGGAATCAGCTACATAGCGTCGGGGATTGGTGAACCTCTGCATACTGACAAAATGAGACTTGATCCCCTGAGCATTGGCGAGCCAAAGGTCAAAATCGAGGTGCAATTGGATTCTCCCCTGCCACATATAGTGGAGATTGAAGATGAACAGGGCTCGGTGATATTAATCACAGCAAGCTACCCCTGGACCCCTCCTAAATGCTCGAGGTGCGGTGAATTCGGGCACAAACCACAAAGCTGCTTGTCGTCGGCCGTTATCCCTCAGAATGAGGCCCTTGTATCTGAAAAAGCCACCACATCAAACTCCACGGAGATAGCTGCCACCGATACTGACGCACAGATACCGCAAGTATCAGTAGAAGAGAGACCTCATGATAATACCACAGTAATTACTACAATTGATCATTCACATACGGCAGCCACCTCATCTCAGTCCCAGATTGCCAGTGATATTTGCCTTAGTCAAGTACCTACCCTGGTAGCGGGCCCTGTCTCCGCTACGACAGTTCCTGTGATCCCATCGTCTCCCCAGGACTCGATAAAAACCCCCACCCACTCGC